TTTGTTTTAAACAGCTTTCAGTACCTAAACTGTCAAAACAAAAAAAATGATTATTGTCTAATTTGAGTAAAAGTCTCCAATGTTCTCCATTTTCTTTACTAGTTTCGTTATTATAAATAAAAAAAGAACCGTTTTTTACCATTCGTTTAATAATGTTTACGTGTGTTTGGGTTTGACTCAATTCGTCAAAAGCGTAAACACCTATAAAATAATCTTTCAAAAAGGGTTCATTATTAAAATAACTAGACAAAGATTCGTTAGTACACATTTTATTCTTCTTTTTCTAAACTAAAAAAACTTGAAATAAATAATGTTACAATAGCGTGTAAAATGTTAACAAATAATGTTTTTTTATTAGATGTGCCGTCTTTTATGATTCCTTCAATGTTTCTTTTAACAGATTTCTTTTTTAAAACTCTATCTAGTTTTTCTATGATGGTTGAAGCGGTAGGTAATATTTTTGCTGTAAAAATATCGACGAATCCGTCTGTTTGATCACCTTCAAACGGAACAACAGGTTTAACATCTCTTTCGAGTAAAAAAACTTTTAGTTTAGATTTGTAATAGTCGGCTATAACATTTTCGTCAAGATGATCTTTTTTCATATTGTCAAATTTGATCAAGTGAAATTGACATAGTTGCGGTTGGTCGAGTAAATTTTTAAATTTACTGTTTTTAAAACATTTTTCAATAGAATAAGAATTTAATGTAATTCTTTTTGAATTTAAAATGTTTTCAAGAAAATCATTTGATGATGTGTCTTTATAATGTTCCTCGTCTATAACTAGAGATGAAGGTGAAGAGTTTCCAGAATTGTTTTCTTGTGATTGATACCTTTTGGCTATTTCATCTAATGCGCAAACAGCGCAATTATTATGAATTTTTCTAATGATACTGTCAACTCGATTCATTTTTAATTATAAAAATTTTTTTAAAAAATTAGTTATTTTTTTTGTTTTTTATACATGTTTTAAAATTTTGAAAAAAGAATACGTTTTATTTTTATTAAAAAATATTGTTATTTTTTTTAGATTTGGTTGTTAGATACCGAGTATATTCATAATGAATCTACAAAAGATCATTTTTGGGGAAAAAATTGTATAAGAGAAATTTGTTTAAGAGCTTTAAACGAAGATTTTTGCTTACATCTACAAGTCTGGCCTTGTACCCCCTATAAAAACTTGGTAGAAAAACATCAAAAAGCTTTCGATCATTGTAAAAATTATATTCATGGTTTACCATATGATCCTAGTTTCTCGGCTAACTCTAGTAGTATTTTTTGCACAGATGTATACTATCATTTGGAATCTTATTTTAAAAAATATCCAATAAATTTAATATTCTATAAAGGTGGCAATATGGAAGTTTTAATTTTGAAATGTTTTAAAAATGTTTATTTTTTTAATCTAAACGAATTTGCGTTTCCAAAAATTAAAAGTATGAATTATTTCTATGATGAAATACCGTGTAATGCTCATTTTAGAAGTGAAATTTTGAGAAAAGAACATTTAGAACATTGCTGTAAATATGAAACAAAGATGTTAAAGAATTATTTGATTGACTTTATATATCATGTTAAAGGTTCTAGTGAAAAAAGAGAACAATATAAAGATTTAGTTAACCTAGTGCGAGAAAATAATCGTTGTGAAGAAATTAATAAAACAGTTTGTAAATTTTTTGATAATGTTTTTTCTTGTAAATAATACATAAAGTAAATAAACAAAAATTAAAAAAATACAATTGTTTTTTTTTTAAAAACATTCCTTTGCGTTAATATAATACATATTAAAATGTTCAGCTTTATGAATAGGTTTATCGTTGATAATTTCTTGTTTAATGACATCGAAGAGTCGATTGTCTCGTCTATTTAAAATTTTCGAAATGGTAAAATTTCTTTTAAAAAAATAAAACCAATTGGCATAAGGAAACATTTCCATAATTGATTTCTCATAAAAATTGCATTGATTAAACGATTTGTATATGTAAACTTTATCGTTCATAGTTTTTACTTTTTCAACTTTAAAATAGTTATAAATGGGTATAGGCGTATAAAGAGTAAAAAATCCGTTATGAAATAATTTATCATTGTATGAAAATACTAATCTTTGTAAACAAGAAGGATACTCTTCTTTCAAAATTAAACTGTTACGCTTTAATAAATCATATTCGTATGAATGATTTTCGATTAAATAGGGAAACAAAAAATAATATTGTAATGATAATTTAATTTTATTTTTCCAAGAGGTGCATTTGTTGTCAATAGTACTACGATAATATTTCTTCTATATTTTTATAAAATGATCAGTTTTGCGTTTTAACACTAAATATCTTTCTGTAAAATTGCTATCTGCTGTGTACTCATTATGCATTTCTTTGTTTTTTTCTGTACATCTTAAAAAATCAGTGTTGATTAAATTACAAAAATCATACATGTCTGATTTCCATTTAGATCCTTGTTCATAAAATTGAAAATAATTACGCGTAGTTTTTTCAAATAAATTTTGATGATTTTGATAATCTTTGATGATAAAAATAAAATACAAATCACAATATTCTTCTTTTGGTAATAACAGTTGTAAATTCCATTTAGTTAAATATTCGTTTATAATAATTTCCCAATCTTCATAAATGTTTTCCAAATGATGAAATTCTTGTAACATAGGATGAAGTTCGTTGTCTGGATAAAACAACTTTAATGCATTTTCTAAACTTTGTTCAACCTGCTTGCTAGTCATTTTTTTTTGAAATGATATATAAAAAATTTTGATTTGTATTTATATTTTTTTATTAATCTATATGACTTCATATTAGAACCTTATAAGGTAATAAAAAACACGTTTTTTTATAATAACTGGTTTTTTTTATTAAATTTAAAAATAGAAATACAAGTTTTTTTAAAAAAAATAAAAAAAAATTTATTCGTCATCATTTTTTTCGTCTTTAATTTCGTTTTGTTTTAATTTTTTATACTCTTTACTTTCTTGTCCAGCTAAATCTTGGGCAGCTCTTTTCATATTTTGATTAAAAGATCTTGTTTGTCCGTTTTTAAGTAAAGTGTTAATCATAATAGGTTCTACAGAAGATTGTCTATCGTATTCTGTATAATAAATTTCTTCGTCTTCTTTTAACATTCGTACGTCAAAAGTACTAATAGGTTGCGATTTTAATACTTTGTGTTTGTTGTAAGCATAATTATATCCGCTATTTTGTATTTCTTCAATTTTACATAACATAGATTGTAAAAGTTTTTTATTTAATTTAGTTTGAGTTGTAATTAAAATAGCATTAAATGTAATTTCCCCATCGCCTGTTTTATTTTTGAAATGAACGTCTTCTTTATTTAATTTCATTTCAGCTCTATACAAATAATTACATGTATTTTCTGCAAGGGAGCATTGTTTTCGAATAGATGCTGGCAACAATATAACTTCTTCTTTGCTTGAGTTGGAATAAACCAATTCTTTTTTAAGGAAATTAAATTGTGCTACGGGTTTTACTGGTACTTTAGAATATTTATTTTCTTTTAAATCTTTTTCGTTTCCTAAATCAATCTGCCATAATGTAGCAGCTGCCATGTCACCGTATTTTAAATAATTTTGCAGATTGCAATAATTAACTTGAATTTCGTTGTCCATTTTATTGTATATGTTTTTTTTTAACTGTTGTAAAGTGGTCAAATGATATAAAAATGAAAAAATTTTTTTGTTTATATACTCTATTTTAACAATAGAGATTAAAAAAAACAAGATCAAAACAAGTTTATGTAAAAAATTGTCAACGTGTCATTTTAAATTTTTTATGATATCATATTTTTACTTTATAAGGTAATACAATAGAAAAAATGTTAATTGTATCTAAATATAGAATTTTATTGTATTGAGTTCTGTATAAAAGGAGAGAATTTTTATTTCAGAATCACTTCAGAGCAAGATGAGTTTAGAAAGATTTATTACTGTGAACGAAATGGTAAATAACGAATATCTTAGTTCGTGTATGAAAATAAATAAATTACAAGATGACTGTTCAAAATTATTAGAAAAAGAAAAATTTTATACTCAAGAAATAATAAATTTATTAATCAAAATTGAAAAAGAAAAAAAACTTTGTATTAGACAACTAAATAAAGATTCATCGACTCGTTGTTATAAAATATCAAAATATTTATGGAAAAATATGGAATCAGGAAAATCAATTTCAGTAGAAGAAGAAGTAAAATATTTACCGTTAACAGATTTAGAAATAAAAAAATTAGATAAAGACGAATTAGCTTATTTTACATGTCGAAAATGTCAAAAGATAAATCCTAATTTTCACGATTGTTATTGGTGTGATAGTAGAATGTGCTATCTATGTTTATTAACTCATTCAATACAAACAATGTTCAACTTTGACACGGACAATTGTAAATTTAATTGTTAATTATTTTTTTGTTAATAATAATTGTTTTTATTTTTTTAGATTAGTAAAAAATGTCACAGGATCTAAACAATGATTGCGATTTTATTGAATATTTGCATGGATGTTATGACAATTGTTTTCGATTTTTAAATGTTAAAAAGTTTATAGATATGATGGAACGTTATTTTCAATTTAACAAAGTGCACAAATTTACTTTAATGGAAATGAAAAACAGAGCTCAGTTTTTTAGATTATGTCATAGTCATAATATTTTAGAAACATATAAACAATGGTTTGATTTTTATCAAAACGAACAGAAATATATACCAAGATATGCTATAATCATTATTTTGGACAAGATAACAGAATTTCCTAATATGGAATTTATTGATTTTTATAATCGATGGCATATTATTAATTCTAATCCTTCAATATTTAATCAATCATTATTTGAATATTATTATACAGAAAATTTAGTTACTTCTATTAATAAAATATTAAATGAAAAATATAAGCAATGGATTATCAAATCATTTGCAAATTCATGATATTTTGTAATTATTCATTGTAAAAAAAAATTTGTATTTTTAGATTAGTAAAAAATGAACAAAAGTAAAGATTTACGAGAAGCTTTGGATCATTTAACAGATTTAACATTGTATAAAATAAGAACTAATAATTATAAAATGAATGATTCTTGTACTTTAATGAATATAGATCAAGATGGTATTAAGATTGAAAGAACTATTGAAAAAATTAAAAATGAAATAAACGATAGAGAAGATTTGAAAAAAGAATTATACGATTCTCGTGATTATTTAGAATTATGTAAAACTATGAACGTTATGCTGCAAAATAAATTATTTCATTATGAACGAATGTTGCAAAATAATGAACAATTTATAAAATGTTATTATTGTCAAATTTATTATTTAAAAAGTGATGTTTATTATTATCCTAATGATTTTTTTCATTGTTATTGTCCAACATGTAAACTATTATACGGTTGTTAATAAATTTTTAATATTTTTTTTGTAGATGAAAACAGTAAAAATAATAGATACTAAAGGATGGTCTTTATATGCTACTAAAGGAAGTGCAGCTTTTGATTTACGTAGTACCGAAAGAAAAGTAATATTGCCATATCAACGTATATTAATTTCTACTGGTGTTTTCATATCAGAAATGGATCAAGATCTTCAAGGTTTCATTACATCCAAGTCTGGTTTAGCCATACATAACGGTATAACAGTATTTAATTCGCCTGGAATTATCGATTCTGATTATAAAGACGAAATTTATGTCATACTTTATAATTCGTCAATTGAAGCATATACTGTTACTGTAGGTCAATCTATTGCACAAATGACTTTTGTACCTGTATTTTTTGCAGAAAGAATTTCATGGACAATAGATAAAAATAAAAATAGTCAAATGGAAATACAATCTATGTTATCTGATGAAGAAAGAAAGGGCGGTTTTGGTTCAACAGGACTTTAATAATTTTTTATATATATTTTTAATAATTTTTTTTGTAATTTTTTTAGATGTCTAATAAATTTATAGAAATGGTTAAACAAGTTATGATTAATATGAACAATGGTGAAAATTTGTTAAAAGATGTGGAAAATGCAACATTGACCGAGATGGACAATAATTGTAAATTTATTGTATTTAATGGGAATCAATGTCAAAATAATCAATGTAAAATTGAATTGAATGACAGAACTAATCAAAAAGAAAATGAAGAAAGTATACAAAGTGATAAAAAACATTCAAATGCATTTTAATATTTTTTTTATATAATTTTTTTTGTAAATTTTTTTAGATGTCTAATAAATTTATTGAAATGGCTAAACAAGTTATTATTAATATGAACAATGGTGAAAATTTGTTAAAAGATGTGGAAAATGCAACATTGACCGAGATGCCCAACAATTGTAAATTTATTGTTTATAATGGTAATCCAATGGATTTAATGGATGCAAGTGATAATGAAAAAGTGAATGAAGATAATGCAAGTGTTAATGAACACAGTGATTCAGATGACGAATTTCTTGAATGTGTACAAAGTGATTCAGATGACGAAATTATTCGTGAAATATTTGATAAATATGATCAAATAACTATGAAAAAATCTAATTTAAAAGAAGACATAAAAAATTTAGAACTTAGAGTTAGTCAACTTGAAGATTTAGTGAATAGTGATGATGATAACGATGAATTAGATGACAATAAAATTGCTTTCAAAGACCTAATAAAGATTAAACAAGATAAAAGTGATAATCAAATAAAAATTGAAAAATCTAATTTAAATGAAGAAATAAAAGAAGAATTAAGAAATTTAGATATTAGAGTTAGTCTTCTTGAAGAACCAAATGGTTTACCTGACGGTCAAAAGATCTTTGTGATTAAAGATATAGTAAAACGAATGAATATTAATTCAAATGATTATCGTTCTACTCTTTTTTCTGCACCGTTTTTTTATAAAAATCATAAAATGACAATAAGAATTAGTTTTAATATGGATATTGATGATAATAATGAAATGATACATGGCGACTATATTGGTATATTTGTAGTTTTTAATGCCGCACATTTATGACGCTATTTTAAAATGGCCGTTTAGTAATAAAAAAGGTAGTATATCATTAATGGGAGAGAAAAAATTTAAAAAAAAATTTAAAACTGGTATCTGCGATCATTTTCAAAGACCTAATAAAGATCAATTGAATCATGGTTTTGGATTTGGAAGATTTATAAACAAAACTGATCTTTTAAATTATATTGTAGAAGATTCTCTTTTTATTAAATGTAAAATTAAAAAATGTAAAATGTAAAATTAATTTTTTATATTTCATTCTTTTTTAAAAATTTGTAATTTTTTTAGGTAACTAATAAAAATGAAGTATAACATGATATTAAAATTAAAAGAACATGATAATGAGTTGGCTCATCAATGTGAAAAGTTGGACGATTATTTAAAAGGAATACGTAATGAATATTGTATGGATGATATACAAGAATTCAAATCTGCAGTTTGTGTTGATTTGAATAACGATAAACATAATTATGCATATGATACAAGTACTATCAATTTACATTTGAAAGTATGTTCAAAGTTGATTATCAAATGTAATAAATCTATTGATCGATCACAAGAGCAAATAAAAAAAGAAAAAGAATATCAAGAAGAAAGAAATGATACGTTTATTGAATTTATAAAAAATAAAGACGATTGGCCTTGTTGTGCTAAAAAACAAAAATTCGAAAATTATGTTTACGAATTTCGATACTTGACAAAAACAGAACTAGTTCAAAATTTAAAAATAAAAATACGTCGCGAATTATTTATTTTAATTAATAAAATGGAGTTGATATTAATTGGTGATTCTTAATTATTTTGTAATATGATTTTTGTGTAATATGAATTTTATGTAATATGAATTATTTTATAATAAAAATTTTTTTAGATGTTAAAATCAATTAGAAAAAATGTTAAAAATATGATAAAAGATGAACATATGGAAGATTTACAACAGTTGCAACTATTTGCAGTTAGCGAAAGTTTTGATTGTGAGCAATATAAAAATGTTAAAAAAACTTTTGAAAAATTTGATAAAGATGTGGATATGATCAAACATGATCAAAATGAAATTGTTTTTAAACTTGAACTTTTACATTTATATAGCAAGATTGTATTAGATTTATTTCATCAGTATACAATTAGTATACAATTTACAAAATGTGAAAAATTACTTGAAAAAAAGATAAATGTAATGAATAGAATAGGAAAATTTTTAAGGGAATTGTTACGATATGATTTTGATAAATGTGTTAATTTATTACTTTAAAATAAATTTTTTTAGAAAACTAATAATGTCTGATCTTATTTGCGAACCATCGGATCAAAAAAAACAAAAGATAGAAGAAGATGAAGTACAATTAGAACCGGAATTACTGAAAGAAATTCAAACTTTACAGCAATTGGCTGATATTGATGATGTTGATGTAATGTGTTATCGAAATCATCGACAGATTATAATGGATTAATAAAAAGTATTAAAACAAAGTATAACAATTTATTACTTGGTAGATGTTATTATGTTAGCACGTTAAACCAAAAACGTATTTACGATTTGCATCATAAATGTTTATTTGATTTATATCAAAAATTTAGTTTTTCTAGTGCAAGATTACATCTTCAAATGAAAGAGTTAGGAGATATTTATTATTCGAAAAAAAAGTTACTTGTTGAAGAAAAATTAAAACACACTTTAGCATATAATAGATACCGTGTTATTCGTAAATTATCTAAAATGTTGAGTAAATTTGATAAACAAGTTCGATATTTAAATGACGATTATATGAGTGATATACAATATTTAGGGGGCGATTTAAATTCTTTAGAAATTTGGTGATTTTTATTATGTTGTATTGATAACTATATAAATGTAAAAAAATATTTTTTTTAGATGGAATTAACAGTAAAAATAGTAAATGAATTTATGAAAAAATTTTCATTACACAATAAAATTTTTCCGTTTACGTTGGAAGAATTGATTATTCAAGCTAAAGAATTTCAACCAATAATATGTGAAGAATGTGAATTACTGAATGTGAAATGTGACCTATATTATAAAATGTTTGATAACAATGAATGGAACATGTTGTTTCGATACAGTTTTATGAGATCAGAAGATCAATTGGTTGTTATGTTGACACAAGGATTTCAAAAACATTTGTTACATACAATAGATCGATTTTTACCACAAAACTTTAAAATATTTTATAATTTTTTTAAAGATTACATAAATGTAGATGTTTTTGTTTCACACGTTAACCAATTGAAAAATGAAAATAATAAAGTTATTAATGAAAGAAAATGTTATTATTGTAATAATCTTTATTAATTTGTAATTTTTTTTCAGTTATAATGAATAGTAAAAAAAAACATGACAAAGATCTTCAAATATTTGGAAGATGTATACAAATAAATACTGATATACAAACCGATGAGCATATTGACGAATCAGTAATAAATTTAGAACATCAAAAAGCATACAAAAGTTTAAAAGAAATTCTTTTAAAAGAAATTCTTTTAGAAGATGTGGAAATCAAATATTTACGTGAAAAATTTCGTTATCAAACTATAGCTAATTATTTTGTTACTAGTATGAAGGAAGTATATTGGACAGCACAATCTTTATCTAGAGAGAAACGTAATACAATAATACAAACTCATTTGATTTGGATAAAAACTATGAATGAACTTTGTGATAAAGGAATAATAATATCAGAAGTTATAATTAAAAAATATAATTACTGTGTATGTACTGTATACATATGTATGTACTGTGTACATAAAAGTTTTTTGAAATTTAAAATTGAATTAAAAAATGATATGATAGAATGTTTAAACTTGTATACTTGTTGTCCTTATTGTGAATATAGTAAAATATGTCAATATTGTATATGTTAAAAATTATTTTTAGATGATAACAGAAACTAAACTAAATAATATTTTGGAATTGTTAGAAATGGATGCCATTTCTCTTCGTAAAATACAATTTGTATCTATGGAATACATGTTGCACGAATTACACAAACAAATGGATTGCGAATTTAAAGACGAATATAATTGGGGTTCATTGGTATCAAAAAATAAAAGACAAGTACCAATGGAAATAGCTAGTTTTGTATTAATTTTAGCTTTACATAAATTTAAAAAAGGCGAATTTCCAACTGATGATTTTTTTGAATTTTATGCTTTTTTTAAAAATTATCATGACAAAGAAAAATTTATTTACCAATTAAATGAAAAAATTGAATATAGCAGGAAATGGTATTATGATAAACGAAAGTTAACTGTATTAAAACTCAATGACATTATGAAAACTTTTAGCGAACGACAATGGATTGAATCTACAGATCATAATACATATTCAGTTGGTATGATGAAATTTACTTTATCAGATTTGTACGATAAAGCTTTAGCATATAAAGAAATTTGTGGAAAATGTAAAATTATTAAAAATGACGAACAACTTGAAAAACTTTCAATTCCAAAAGATTTTAAATTAAATGTTTGGATAGATTGGATAGATTTTTTTTATTATCAATTTCCTAATAATTATGTAATTTTATTTTTGCTAGAAGTATTGTTGTCAAATTTTCCATACTATAAAGATAAAGCTTTTTATACGTTATATATGTTTTTTGAAAATTGTGACATGTTTGTTAAAAATATAATTATTGAAAAAGTTAATATAAAAGTTTATGATTATGTAAACGCACTTTTTTATTATTAATAAAAGATTATTTTTTTTAGATGAAATTTACAGAAATAATATTAAATTGTGTAATGGATTCTTTTAAAAAAATTTGTGAAAAAGAAAATTGGACAGTGGCAGATTTACAATTTAAATATATGAAATATAACGCTGATTGTACTTTTGGAAATGTATCTGAAATGGAAAATATTTTTGAAAAAACAAATA